GGCTACAAAAAGCGTTTACAAGCTGTGATACTTGCCAAAGGGGGTAGTACAAGATATTAACTCTGCAGGGTGCCCAAACTTTTGCAGACGCCATTTTTTTGTTTTCTGTTATTTTGAAAGTGTAAATGATGGAAATAAAATCTAACTTTTGTTGACATATTATAAGAATGTCTAATCTGTAATTTGATGCCTTTTGGAGATTTTTCCATCTTTCCTTGGCTTCTTTATGCACATTAATACACATTTTTTAGCTGGGGTGCCCAAACTTTTGATCCCCACTGTACTTGTATTCACACATTTGTTTGTATATACACTTGTAGTATTACTAGCAGCAGGCAGTTTATCCATACATTCACTTCCAGTCCACTACGCAGGCTCCATTTATACTTAGATCCCATTACTCACTGAGAGGCAGGGGGGACATTTATGATAGAAGAGACCACTAGGGTCTCTTCTGTGATAAAAACCCATAGAACGTATGAATGTAAAAGATCTTCAGCCCTTACAACCACTTTAAGGCAGTCCATGGGTGATGCGACTTTCTTTCCTGTTACCACTGGTTGCAGGAAAAACAATTGCTCAATTCCCCCATCAACACAGTCAGTGTTGGTGGGGGAATCCCTCCTGTGGAGCTATTGTGTTCTCCTGGCGGGAGAGGGTGCAGGGAACCATCCCTGCCAGGATAACACACTGGTTATTGCTAGAGGATATAGCCGGTGGCAATAAACGCATGTAAAAATCTGACATGCTGATTGTACCCAAATCGACTGATGGATGGACTTGGGTACAATCAGCCTGCCCCCCTAGATGGTTTGAATCTTAGCTGGTCCCTGCTGAATCAGCTGAGATCTGAACCATCTATGGCCAGCTTTAGGAATGCAGTGATGAGGCAATACAACACCTCCTTTCAAAAGCTCTCTAAACTGCGATCTGCATTTGGATCACTCTTCAGAGACCAAAGCTAGTGTGAACAAGCCTTTAAAAAGTTAAATGAAACCTGGAGTTAGGCTTTAAGTGGGTCAATCAAGGGACTCAACCACTTATGTTTTCCTTCCCCCCCCCCCCCGACCACATGTGCAAGCAAGCCCTTAGTACAGTGTGCCTAATAAAAAGCTCAGCAAGTGTACTCTATGCTAGTAAGTGAAGATCAGGGGCGGACTGACCATTTGGAAAATCGGGCACTGCCCAAGGGCCCGGGGTCAGTAGGGGGCACCATGAGATGCCCCTGATACCTTTTTCATAGGCTTTTTTGAGTTTGGGCAGACTTCTCCTGGCCTGTTAGACATTTGCAGGCAGAGGAAAGATGGTAAATTATCCTCATTATTGATGTTGGATGTTTAAAACAGAACTTTGAGTGCCACAATCCAAAAAAGCAATTTCATTCTTTAATATTTGGCCCTAGTTCAAACTGAATGCAGCTTTGAAATTGTGCTACTTCATTTGTAACCAGGGGCGGACTGACCATTTGGAAACTCGGGCACTGCCCGAGGGCCCGGGGTCAGTAGGGGGCCCCATGAGATGCCCCTGGTACCTTTTTCATAGGCTTTTTTGAGTTTGAGCAAGGACACAAGGGGCCCCATGATCCCCTATTGCCCGGGGGCCCTATGAGTTGTCAGTCCGCCCCTGGTGAAGATATTTCAGATCTCAGCTCACAAAACTGTAAACACATAAAATTAGCCTCTGATGTGAGAATTCATGGAAATATCTGTTAAAAGCAAGCTGTTGTAAAGAGCCATCTACACTGCTGACAAACAATGAGACAGAACTAAAAATATTGCGGCAACACATACTGCTTGGGGGCAGAGTTGGAGTACAGGGAAGAAAATTTCACAGCAAGCATTTTTTTTTTTCTGAGAAATCACATAAAAGCGGCAGCAGACAGCGCTCACACAAGAAAAAAAAAAGTTTCGCTTGCAATATGTGTAAAGTTCCTTACTGCTGACAGTAAGAGCTAACCACATCGCGTCAGTTCCTGACACCGCTCACACACACCATCATACAGAATATCATTTACCTCCAGCTTGCTACAAAAAATACACGCAAGCAATCAATCAAGAGCTGGCTTATGGGACCGGTTAGTAAATAGGTCGATTAGTTGGGCTGTACAGAATGATCTCCTGGGATTGACTTCTAGATTGTTTGATGTTAACCGCTCTCAATCTACATCATGCAAGATCTAAACATTTAATGCATGCACATAAATATCAAGACCATGGATAATTCATGGATGTGTTCCAGGACACACCAGCACATGAATCCATCTATCTTTAGAAATGGCTAATAGAGGATATGAAAGCCATTAAATACATTACACCGTGTTCCAAATTATTATGCAAATTCTATTTAAGTGTCACAAAGATTAAATATTTTGTTTCTCAGTTTAACTCATGGATGGCATTGTGTGTCAGGGCTCTTTTGATCACTGAAAACAATCTCGGACACCTGTGATAATTAGATTGGTCGGTGAGCCCAATTTAAGGAAAAACTACTGAAGGACGGTGTTCCCCATTATTAAGCAGAGTACCATTTTCAAGCAATATGGGGAAGAAAAAGGATCTCTCTGCTGCCGAAAAGAATGAAATAGTTTGATGCCTTGGACGAGGTATGAAAACATTAGATATTTCACGAAAACGTAAGCGTGATCATCGCACTATGAAGAGATTTGTGGCTGATTCAGAGCACAGACGGGTTGGTGCAGATAAAGGCACATTGAGGAAGATTTCTGCCAGATCCATGCATCGGATCAGGAGAGCAGCTGCTAAAATACCATTACATAGCAGCAAACAGATATTTGAAGCTGCTGGTGCTTCTGGAGTCCCACGGACATCAAGGTGTAGAGTCCTCCAGAGTCTTGCAACTGTGCATAAACCTTCTATTCAGCCACCACTAACCAATGCTCACAAGGAGAAACGGCTGCATTGGGCAGAAAAATACATGAAGACTAATTTTCAAACAGTCCTGTTCACTGATGAGTGCCGTGCAACCCTGGATGGTCCAGATGGATGGAGTAGTGGATGGTTGGTGGACGGCCACCCTGTTCCAACAAGGCTACGATGTCAGCAAGGCGGTGGTGGAGTCATGTTTTGGGCCAGAATCATGGGAACAGAGCTGGTCGGCCCCTTTAGGGTCCCCGAAAGTGTAAAGATGACCTCTGCAAAGTATGTGGAGTTTATGACTGACCACTTTCTTCCCTGGTACAGAAGGAAGAACTATGCTTTCCGTAATAAAATCATCTTCATGCATGACAATGCACCATCTCATGCTGCAAAGAATACCTCTGCATCAATGGCTGCTATGGGGATAAAAGGAGAGAAAGTCATGCTGTGGCCTCCATCCTCCCCTGACCTCAATCCTATTGAGAACCTTTGGAGCATCCTCAAGCAAAAGATATATGAGGGTGGGAGGCAGTTTACATCCAAACAGCAGCTCTGGGAGGCTATTCTGACATCTTGCAAACAAATTCAAGCAGAAACTGTCCAAAAACTCACAAGTTCAATGGATGCAAGACTTGTGAAGCTGCTATCCAATAAGGGGTCCTATGTTACAATGTAACGTGACCTGTTTAAAATGTTTAAAAAGTTAAAATGTTGTTAAAAGTTTGATTGAAATAGCTTTTGATTTCAGTAAATATGCTGCAAACACAACAAATGACAATTTTCAGTTCTTTACAACCTATAAAGTGTTTTGAAAGTTACTGTGCGGAATAATTTGGAACAAAAATCCTGTTATCATTAGGAGGTTTGTTCAATAAAATGTGAATTGTACTCTTAATAGTTGATAACATGAGAATTATGCTGACTGTTATTTACATCAATTATTTAGGTAAATGAGAAAAATATCATTTGCATAATAATTTAGAACACGGTGTAAATACTGGAGACTGATTTACTAAAGAGTTGGTTCTGGCCACCTCAGTGGATTGCTTTAAAAAAGTCCCGGATTCTTTCTTAGATACACAGAATATAACTGGATACTAACATTTATAGGTAAAGCTGATCCAGGGAATATCCGATTGCCTCTCGGGGGATCAGGAAGGAATGGTTTTCCCTGCAGGAGCAAATTGGATCGTGCTGTGCTGGGTTATTTTGCCTTCCTCTGGATCAACTGTGGGTATAGGATTATAACTTTTTTTTTTTTTTGTAGAACTGGATGGACTTTTGTCTTTTTTCAGCCAGACTAACTATGTAACTAAACTACTTGAGAATGTTCACGCAATAAATTGTGTCAATGTTCACTAAACCACTTGACCTCCAGAAGGTTTTACCCCCTTCATGACCAGGTAATTTTTTGCGATTGAGCACTGCGCTACTGTGAAAATTGCGCGGTCATACAACAATGTACACAAATTAAATGTATATAATTTCTTTTTTCACACAGAGCTTTTTCGGTGGTAATTGATCCTGGCCCCTCCCTCCTGCCAAGTGCCCCCACAGAAAGCAACTTGCTATGGGGGCACCCCCGAGCCGCTGTTCTGCATGTACATTCACACACAGAACTGTGGCTCGGCCCCGCCCCCTCTCTCACCTCATTGGCTGTGATTGAAAGCAGCAGAAGCCAATGCCCCCTGCTGCTGTCTCACCCAATGAAGAGGGAGAGTCCCCGGAAAGCCACTGCTCTAGTGCACATCGCTGGATTGGCTCAAGTAAGTATTAGGGGAGCCTGCTGCACATAGGATGCATGAAGGTAAAAAACCTTGAGCCTTCAAAACCCACTTTAACCCCTCGCCTACAGGGCACTTATACCCCCTTCCTGTCCAGGCCAATTTCCAGCTTTCAGCGCTGTCACACTTTGAATGACAATTGCGCGGTCATGCAACACTGTACCCATATGAAATTTTTTTGTGACAGATAGACAGCTTTATTTTGGTGATATTTAATCACCTCTGGGTTTTTTTATTTTTTTCTTAAACCAAAAACCACTAAAAAGTTTAAAAAAAAAAAAAGTTTTTTCTTAGTTTTTGTTATAAAATTTTGCAAATAAGTGATTTTTCTCCTTCACTGATGTGCGCTAATGAGGCTGTAGTGATGGGCACTGATAGGCTGCACAGATGGGCACTGATAGGTGGCACTGATGAGGAGGCACTGGTAGGTGGCACTGATGGACATTGACAGGTATCACTCATATGGCACTGAAAGGCAGCACTCATATGGCACTGATAGGCGGCACTGACTGGCACTGTTAGGCAGCACTGATGCACAATGACAGGCGGCACTGACTGGCACTGATAGGCAGCACTGATAGGTGGCACTGACTGGCATTGATAGATGGTCCTGGCTGGCTATGATAGGTGGCACTGAAAGGCAGCTCAGATGGGCACTGATATGTGGCATTGATGTGCACTGGTAGGCACTAAAATGTGGCATTGATGTGGCACGGATGAGCACTGACAAGCACTGACAGGTGGCACGGATGAGCACTGACAGGTGGCACTGCTGGGGCTACACGGATCATCAGGGCACACTGATCATCAGTGCCCTGATGATCAGTGTACATGTCCCCTCTCAGGGATGCCGATTACCGGCTCTCCTCTTCTCTGTCAGCGCGATAGCTCATGAGAAGAGAAATGCTGATAACCGGAATTTCCCTATTTACATGCAATCAGCTGTGATTGGACACAGCTGATCACATGACCGAGCCGACATCTTCGGCTCTTTCCATTGATCGGTGATCCACTGTGTCCGAGGGACACAGCGCACCGCCGATCGCAGCGCATGCGCGGTTAGACTGGGAGGACGTCATATGACGTCCTCCCAGAACGAGAGAACCGCCTTGCGTCCGTCATTGTATTATATGGCAGGCGGGAGGCAGTTAAGCTGGCCATACAGGGTTCAAAATTTGGCTGGTTCAGCAGTGACCGTCCAAATTTCAATCCATCTAATGATTGACTTCTCTCAAACCGGCTTGTTGGAAAATCCTCCTTTGATCAGTGCTGCAGCCAATCAGAATACACTGATCAACGCTGCAGCTGACAGTGGAGTCCTCGCTGTCAGAATACAACACAATGGGGAAGATTTCTCCATTCATCTCACTTGTGTTGGTAGGGAAATTTGTTTTGTTTTTTTAAAAACTGACACACACATGGCCAACCTAAAATCGGCAATAGATGGATTGAATCACAGTCATTTCAACAAGGACTGGCCAAGATTCAATTCCTCTATGGGCAGACTGGTTATACTGAAGTTAGTCCATCAAATCGATTTCAGTACAACCAGTTGGGTTTTTCCTTTCAATCACAGTTGGCTGCTATAGCCAACCGCTCCGTATCCGCCACCCCTCTCTGACAATCCCTCCACTGGCTTCCAATTGCCCAACGGATACAATTCAAAACACTAACACTGATGTACAAAGCCGTTCATAACACTGCCCCTAATTACATCACCGATCTTGTCTCTAAATACCACCCAAACCGTACTCTCTGCTCCTCGCAAGACCTCCTACTCTCTAGCTCCCTTGTCTCCTCCTCCCATGCTCATCTCCATAATTTCTCACGGGCTTCACCCATCCTCTGGAACTCCCTACCTCAAGCTATCAGGCTATTGCCTACTGTGCTCAATTTTAGGCGCACTCTGAAAACTCATCTCTTCAGGGAAGCCTACCCTGACCCTGGCTAACTACTGGAATCCCCTACTCCCCTAACCACTCCATCCCCCACAGCTATCTCCTCCTGTACCACTATCCCCTCCCTCCTAGATTGTAAGCTCCAAGGAGCAGGGCCCTCTAATCCCTCTTGTATTGAACTGTATTGTTACTGTACTGTCTCCCTCCATAATGTAAAGCGCTGAACAAACTGTCGGCGCTATACAAGTCCTATATAATAATATAGCCGCTAGCAGTAAACATTGGGTTCTGCTGGCAGGGAAGGCTTCCTGTTGGCATAACACAACAGCGCTGCGGAGGGGATTCCCCTATCGACACTGTGTTCAAGGTGGAAGGAAAGAAATTGTATCATCTATTGGCTGCTTGAGTCTTTGCTATATCTAAATCAAAAGAACCCTACCTATCGTCCGTGAAGTTGCTGCTACAAAACACCCTACATGGCTTTTTTATACAAGCTTGTACCACGATTACGTGGTTCTCTGCCCAAATGTCACCAAACAGCTAGCAGTCCAATTAACAGTTGGCAAGCATGACACAACTAAGAAGAAAAAAACCACAAGATGCAAATGTAAACAAATCTAGGGCCTGCACACTGGAAGGGCTCATTTTACATCCCTTTTGGAGCTTGGGCAAAGCTTAATAAACGCCTGTATCAATATTTATAATGTATTGTGCTCACGTTTACACACAAATGCTTACTAAAGTGCCAGCATCACTTCACATCAATACAGCTGCTTCAAGCTGTTTTGGGGGCTCTTGCCGGTGTCAGCTCTATAATACAAATCAAGGAGAATGGGGGAAGAAAAAAAAGAAAGTACCCACATAGCATTTCCCCTGGATTCTCTCTGATATCTCCAGCCATTACTCTGCCATCAGAAAAATCTCTAAAAACACTTGTTAAAGCTATATAGGCATTCACTGGCTTTAAAGCAAACCTTGCAATACAATGCAAGATCAGATTATAACTGTCCAGGTCCCCTACCATTGTCAAAATCACTAGCTTTTAGTATGTGTAAAAGGTACCTGTATATTATTCTTATACAGGATTTATATAGCGCCAACAGTTTGCTCAGCGCTTTACAATATAACGGGAGACAATACAGCAACAATACAGTTCAATACAAGAGGGTTAGGAGGGCCCTGATCCTTGGAGCTTACAATCTAGGAGGGAGGGGCTAGAGGTACAAAAGGTGATAACTCCTAGATTGTAAGCTCTAAAGAGCAGGGCCCTCGAGCCCCTCGTGTATTGTTTTGTTACTGTATTGTCTCATGTTCTGTCCCCCACTATAATGTACAGCGCTGAGCAAACCTTTTAGCGCTATATAAATACTGTATAATAATAATAATAGCTGTGGGGGATGGACTGGTTGGAAGAGTAGAGGATTCCAGTATTAGCTGGGGTCGGATAGGCTTCCCTAAAGAGAGGTTTCCAGTGATCGCCTAAAAGTCAGCAGAGTAGGTGATAGTCTGATAGATTGGGGTAGGGAGTTTCAGAGGATGGGGGAAGCTCTGGAGAAATCCTGGAGATTAGCATGGGAGGAGGAGACAAGGGAGCTAGAGAGTAGGAGTTCTTGCGAGGAGTGGAGAGTACGGTTTGGGTGATATTTAGAGACAAGATCGGTGATATAATTAGGGGCGGAGTTATGAACGGCTTTGTACGGCAGTGTTAGTGTTTTGAATTTTATCCGTTGGGGAACTGGTATATACTTACCTTTCCCTCCATCTTCCACTTTGCTGGCCACCATGTCCTTCCTGGAAGATTAAAAAAAAAAAAAAAAAAAAAAAAAAAAAAAAAAAAAAAAAAAAAAAAAAAAAAAAAAAAAAAAAAAAAAAAAAAAAAAAAAAAAAAAAAAAAAAAAAAAAAAAAAAAAAAAAAAAAAAAAAAAAAAAAAAAAAAAAAAAAAAAAAAAAAAAAAAAAAAAAAAAAAAAAAAAAAAAAAAAAAAAAAAAAAAAAAAAAAAAAAAAAAAAAAAAAAAAAAAAAAAAAAAAAAAAAAAAAAAAAAAAAAAAAAAAAAAAAAAAAAAAAAAAAAAAAAAAAAAAAAAAAAAAAAAAAAAAAAAAAAAAAAAAAAAAAAAAAAAAAAAAAAAAAAAAAAAAAAAAAAAAAAAAAAAAAAAAAAAAAAAAAAAAAAAAAAAAAAAAAAAAAAAAAAAAAAAAAAAAAAAAAAAAAAAAAAAAAAAAAAAAAAAAAAAAAAAAAAAAAAAAAAAAAAAAAAAAAAAAAAAAAAAAAAAAAAAAAAAAAAAAAAAAAAAAAAAAAAAAAAAAAAAAAAAAAAAAAAAAAAAAAAAAAAAAAAAAAAAAAAAAAAAAAAAAAAAAAAAAAAAAAAAAAAAAAAAAAAAAAAAAAAAAAAAAAAAAAAAAAAAAAAAAAAAAAAAAAAAAAAAAAAAAAAAAAAAAAAAAAAAAAAAAAAAAAAAAAAAAAAAAAAAAAAAAAAAAAAAAAAAAAAAAAAAAAAAAAAAAAAAAAAAAAAAAAAAAAAAAAAAAAAAAAAAAAAAAAAAAAAAAAAAAAAAAAAAAAAAAAAAAAAAAAAAAAAAAAAAAAAAAAAAAAAAAAAAAAAAAAAAAAAAAAAAAAAAAAAAAAAAAAAAAAAAAAAAAAAAAAAAAAAAAAAAAAAAAAAAAAAAAAAAAAAAAAAAAAAAAAAAAAAAAAAAAAAAAAAAAAAAAAAAAAAAAAAAAAAAAAAAAAAAAAAAAAAAAAAAAAAAAAAAAAAAAAAAAAAAAAAAAAAAAAAAAAAAAAAAAAAAAAAAAAAAAAAAAAAAAAAAAAAAAAAAAAAAAAAAAAAAAAAAAAAAAAAAAAAAAAAAAAAAAAAAAAAAAAAAAAAAAAAAAAAAAAAAAAAAAAAAAAAAAAAAAAAAAAAAAAAAAAAAAAAAAAAAAAAAAAAAAAAAAAAAAAAAAAAAAAAAAAAAAAAAAAAAAAAAAAAAAAAAAAAAAAAAAAAAAAAAAAAAAAAAAAAAAAAAAAAAAAAAAAAAAAAAAAAAAAAAAAAAAAAAAAAAAAAAAAAAAAAAAAAAAAAAAAAAAAAAAAAAAAAAAAAAAAAAAAAAAAAAAAAAAAAAAAAAAAAAAAAAAAAAAAAAAAAAAAAAAAAAAAAAAAAAAAAAAAAAAAAAAAAAAAAAAAAAAAAAAAAAAAAAAAAAAAAAAAAAAAAAAAAAAAAAAAAAAAAAAAAAAAAAAAAAAAAAAAAAAAAAAAAAAAAAAAAAAAAAAAAAAAAAAAAAAAAAAAAAAAAAAAAAAAAAAAAAAAAAAAAAAAAAAAAAAAAAAAAAAAAAAAAAAAAAAAAAAAAAAAAAAAAAAAAAAAAAAAAAAAAAAAAAAAAAAAAAAAAAAAAAAAAAAAAAAAAAAAAAAAAAAAAAAAAAAAAAAAAAAAAAAAAAAAAAAAAAAAAAAAAAAAAAAAAAAAAAAAAAAAAAAAAAAAAAAAAAAAAAAAAAAAAAAAAAAAAAAAAAAAAAAAAAAAAAAAAAAAAAAAAAAAAAAAAAAAAAAAAAAAAAAAAAAAAAAAAAAAAAAAAAAAAAAAAAAAAAAAAAAAAAAAAAAAAAAAAAAAAAAAAAAAAAAAAAAAAAAAAAAAAAAAAAAAAAAAAAAAAAAAAAAAAAAAAAAAAAAAAAAAAAAAAAAAAAAAAAAAAAAAAAAAAAAAAAAAAAAAAAAAAAAAAAAAAAAAAAAAAAAAAAAAAAAAAAAAAAAAAAAAAAAAAAAAAAAAAAAAAAAAAAAAAAAAAAAAAAAAAAAAAAAAAAAAAAAAAAAAAAAAAAAAAAAAAAAAAAAAAAAAAAAAAAAAAAAAAAAAAAAAAAAAAAAAAAAAAAAAAAAAAAAAAAAAAAAAAAAAAAAAAAAAAAAAAAAAAAAAAAAAAAAAAAAAAAAAAAAAAAAAAAAAAAAAAAAAAAAAAAAAAAAAAAAAAAAAAAAAAAAAAAAAAAAAAAAAAAAAAAAAAAAAAAAAAAAAAAAAAAAAAAAAAAAAAAAAAAAAAAAAAAAAAAAAAAAAAAAAAAAAAAAAAAAAAAAAAAAAAAAAAAAAAAAAAAAAAAAAAAAAAAAAAAAAAAAAAAAAAAAAAAAAAAAAAAAAAAAAAAAAAAAAAAAAAAAAAAAAAAAAAAAAAAAAAAAAAAAAAAAAAAAAAAAAAAAAAAAAAAAAAAAAAAAAAAAAAAAAAAAAAAAAAAAAAAAAAAAAAAAAAAAAAAAAAAAAAAAAAAAAAAAAAAAAAAAAAAAAAAAAAAAAAAAAAAAAAAAAAAAAAAAAAAAAAAAAAAAAAAAAAAAAAAAAAAAAAAAAAAAAAAAAAAAAAAAAAAAAAAAAAAAAAAAAAAAAAAAAAAAAAAAAAAAAAAAAAAAAAAAAAAAAAAAAAAAAAAAAAAAAAAAAAAAAAAAAAAAAAAAAAAAAAAAAAAAAAAAAAAAAAAAAAAAAAAAAAAAAAAAAAAAAAAAAAAAAAAAAAAAAAAAAAAAAAAAAAAAAAAAAAAAAAAAAAAAAAAAAAAAAAAAAAAAAAAAAAAAAAAAAAAAAAAAAAAAAAAAAAAAAAAAAAAAAAAAAAAAAAAAAAAAAAAAAAAAAAAAAAAAAAAAAAAAAAAAAAAAAAAAAAAAAAAAAAAAAAAAAAAAAAAAAAAAAAAAAAAAAAAAAAAAAAAAAAAAAAAAAAAAAAAAAAAAAAAAAAAAAAAAAAAAAAAAAAAAAAAAAAAAAAAAAAAAAAAAAAAAAAAAAAAAAAAAAAAAAAAAAAAAAAAAAAAAAAAAAAAAAAAAAAAAAAAAAAAAAAAAAAAAAAAAAAAAAAAAAAAAAAAAAAAAAAAAAAAAAAAAAAAAAAAAAAAAAAAAAAAAAAAAAAAAAAAAAAAAAAAAAAAAAAAAAAAAAAAAAAAAAAAAAAAAAAAAAAAAAAAAAAAAAAAAAAAAAAAAAAAAAAAAAAAAAAAAAAAAAAAAAAAAAAAAAAAAAAAAAAAAAAAAAAAAAAAAAAAAAAAAAAAAAAAAAAAAAAAAAAAAAAAAAAAAAAAAAAAAAAAAAAAAAAAAAAAAAAAAAAAAAAAAAAAAAAAAAAAAAAAAAAAAAAAAAAAAAAAAAAAAAAAAAAAAAAAAAAAAAAAAAAAAAAAAAAAAAAAAAAAAAAAAAAAAAAAAAAAAAAAAAAAAAAAAAAAAAAAAAAAAAAAAAAAAAAAAAAAAAAAAAAAAAAAAAAAAAAAAAAAAAAAAAAAAAAAAAAAAAAAAAAAAAAAAAAAAAAAAAAAAAAAAAAAAAAAAAAAAAAAAAAAAAAAAAAAAAAAAAAAAAAAAAAAAAAAAAAAAAAAAAAAAAAAAAAAAAAAAAAAAAAAAAAAAAAAAAAAAAAAAAAAAAAAAAAAAAAAAAAAAAAAAAAAAAAAAAAAAAAAAAAAAAAAAAAAAAAAAAAAAAAAAAAAAAAAAAAAAAAAAAAAAAAAAAAAAAAAAAAAAAAAAAAAAAAAAAAAAAAAAAAAAAAAAAAAAAAAAAAAAAAAAAAAAAAAAAAAAAAAAAAAAAAAAAAAAAAAAAAAAAAAAAAAAAAAAAAAAAAAAAAAAAAAAAAAAAAAAAAAAAAAAAAAAAAAAAAAAAAAAAAAAAAAAAAAAAAAAAAAAAAAAAAAAAAAAAAAAAAAAAAAAAAAAAAAAAAAAAAAAAAAAAAAAAAAAAAAAAAAAAAAAAAAAAAAAAAAAAAAAAAAAAAAAAAAAAAAAAAAAAAAAAAAAAAAAAAAAAAAAAAAAAAAAAAAAAAAAAAAAAAAAAAAAAAAAAAAAAAAAAAAAAAAAAAAAAAAAAAAAAAAAAAAAAAAAAAAAAAAAAAAAAAAAAAAAAAAAAAAAAAAAAAAAAAAAAAAAAAAAAAAAAAAAAAAAAAAAAAAAAAAAAAAAAAAAAAAAAAAAAAAAAAAAAAAAAAAAAAAAAAAAAAAAAAAAAAAAAAAAAAAAAAAAAAAAAAAAAAAAA